GGGGGGAGAGGGCGTATAAAGGAGCATTAATGCTCTTTTGACGTACTATAAGTGATTCCGTTTTTAGAACACATTGAGCATCTCCATATGCTTTGTCCTATTATGAAGTGTACGTGACTTCGATTAGGGGAATTGTAGACGTATTTTCGCAATGCACTCGAAAATCGCTGCTTGAATTAATGGAAACTTCAAGACTGAAAGGGCTAATTTATCGTTTTAGACCTACGAATCACCATTACTTGGTCCAAAGAACTTTGATTCTGCAATAACGAACATTATTTTTAATCCAATTATTGGAGGCTAATCAGTGATCATTCAACTCCCTATTTCATTATACTAAGCTAAGTAAATCAAAGCTAATATCAACTATACAAATCGGATAAGGAATATAGATCTTTCCTTGAAATTACTCTTAAGGAGATTTCAGCTCAGAAAATGGAGATTTCTACCTGACTGAAGCCGAAATTGTCACCACTTTGGTCTTTAAGGCATTCCTGGGTTGATAAAGACACGTTTGCTTAAAGAGAAAGATAGTTGGTATCAGTCTGCCATTCACAAACGCGTCTGCTGGTCAAAGAAGGCATGATTAGCTGGTGTCACTCCTACAGCCCCCCCCCCCACCAACCCAGTTAACTTTGCCTTTCAATAGCGAGGAGACAAATAGCTCACCACGAGATTGGATAATCCTACTATCGAAAAATAAACAAAGTTTGCTCAAACTGAACTCCATATTTGAAGCCATGTATCCTCGTGGATCGAAAATTTACTCAAATAGAAAAAATACAATTTAATGAAGGATTGATCGATATCTACTTGCTCGCAGCTAAATTGGATAGTAGTGCGCCATTGCTAATAGAATCAACAAAGCAGCTATGCGTGAATATCAGTTTCTTTTTGGAGCCAATTGACAAAGCTTGCGGTCCTGCTGTGATTGAGATGTCAAGCTCCGAAATTTCGAAAAAATCAAAATACTCGAGAAAATTTTCATATTTTCTAATGTTTAATTTGCGTCGATATGATAGCCTAGTTGGTGGGGTCAGTATCGTAAACATTTCCGGCACAAAGCCACCTTTATGTTTATCACTAATTCAGTTGTTGAAAAAAATGAAATTTTCGAAAAATTGGATTAAGCCCCATCAAAATTGGGATTAGCCAACCGATTAATGCCTGAGTGGTTAAAAAACGTTCTTGAATAAGGCTTGTTCATGGAGTAGGAATTACTATTTGCGATTGACATGAAATCTTAAAGATTATATGACGTTTTAGAGGCTAATAAATACCTCTCAGAATCATTTTTATCTCGTTGGTAGCTTAATAACATATAATCTAAGAGACAAAAATTAACATCACTAATCAGTCTCAAATTTCTCTAACCACTGGCATAATTATATAAATTAGAATTCAATGATGGGAATAACGTCTTATTCAGATTTTCTATAATAAATAAACTGGGGTGTGCGATAGACTTACCTCCACGTGGTGCACCCTGGGCAACGTATACTCATACGGCAAAGTCTATTAACCGGCAGTTGACTTCAAACTAGCATGACCCCGCTGTATGTCATATTTGACTACTTCCTCATTACTCGACTCACCCCTTATATACCTTTGTGTCTGTCTCTTTAACATCTTTGAAACACTCTACCTTTGTGTCTGTCTCTTTTACATCTTTGAAACACTCTTCAAACTTTGTGTCTGTCTCTTTTACATCTTTGAAACACTCTTTTGTTCCCCCCCCCTCCCCCTCTCGACTTTTTTCACTTTGATGTTTTCCACCTTTGTGTCTGTCTCTTTAACATCTTTGAAACACTCTTCTATTCCATCCCCCTCCCCTCCCGACTTTTTTTCACTCTGATGTTCCTTCCCCTCTATGGAGCCTGAAGTCCACTCAAGGGCCAATGATAACTATCAAAACGCCTGCCATTGATTTAAAAATATTTTTCATATCCACAAGTGTTGACGATATGGGGAAGATTTATGATAAAAAGTCATACATGATTGTTAACTTCTCTCTTACACCAGAAGCATTCAACCAGAAAGCACATGGCCACGTATCTCTGCGGACCTATTTAGTATTCTTTAACACCCACCAACCAACAAGTAACTTTGTTTGAACTATCTCCTTCATTAATCTTGACTTGAACTAGAACACATGGAGAGGGCAAATTTGTTGAAATGACGTCCCATAGGTTCACCTTCCATTCAGTATATAATCCAGCAAACAAATTTACCACTTAATTCAAGGCAATTTCAAATATCCAACTATACAGTTAGTGCGAAATTTTTCTCTGAATATACAAACAAATATTGATATGATTAAAATATAAAAATATTAAACGAGGAACGATACAGCTTGAGTTCTAGGTGGACAAAATTGTATCAACCCTCAAAGCAAAAAAATAAAACAGCATGAGTTCAAATAGTAAATTCTTTCTTTTGTACACACACCGACGGAAAGAAAATTATGCTGACTTTGTGGGGAGGAGGGGGGGGGGGCGGTAAAGGAACGAATGGGGTCATAAGTAGTAGAACCGATTCACACACATTCATAGGGAAACCATCGTATCATGGTTGTTGTAATTACCGTGCTGATCGACTCCGTTTGGCAGGTGGAGCAGTAGCAGCCTCCTGTTCACCATTCAAATCGATTATGTACTCAGAGCGAGAAGTGTTTCCCACACCTGTCAGATGAGCACAAAGAAACTCTACCTTCAACCATTCGTAGCCTTGACAACCAGCTGGAGAACTAGACGTATCACTATGACCGCTGGAACGACTAGACGCATTTGATCGTCGCTTCATGAAAGCATGTGTTACTTGATCAGCTGGTGGATAGGGGGCACTGTTGGTCAAAACCTGAAAGAGGAAATATTTATGTCTTTTAGAAAAGACCAATTAAATAGTTTTTCCCACTCAAAGTCCAGCCTTCTTTTCTGGGATTGAGTTTGAATACTACTTAATGGTGTAATACAAATAGAAAAATTCACGGAGCTGATGCTTCTTAATTGAGGAAACAAACAAGCAAAAGAGTGGCGAGAATGTAGAAAAAAAACAATTAGAGGCGGTAAATAAGATGCCTACCAAGAGGATTGCTAATGTGGTTTGAACAAATAGGCGATCTGTTGGCGATGTCTGATGTAAATTTGCATTTTGAAAATAGCAGACGTCCGATCGCATTTCAAACAGCAGAATGTTTCATTATACCATCAACTTTGACAAATACCAGAACTTACTCGTCAAGTGACGAGCGGCTTAAATTCTCCAAAAAACAGCACTGATTTTGAAGTTAACAGAGGATTAGTGCAAAATGAGCACCAATCTGTAGAAACAAATAGAATGTGAGAGCGAAAACAGTTACATTATGTGGTTACCTCATATAATTAAATAAAAGGTCAAGTTAAAAAATGTCCAAGATAAACGTAGTTCCAAAACAAGCAAATCTTCTTAAATAGCTGTCAGCATAATATCAATGTAAGCTAGAAACATTTCAAGGCTTTCTTCAAGTGTGTAAATGAAGTTACGAAATACGATTTTTTGACGATATTTGTTTGAATGCAAACCTATACACTTACGGAAAAGTATTACACAGCACAGTTTTTACAAACAGTATTAAAACTCGCTTTAAACCGAAATCAATAGTCGCAAATAAGCATAATTATGAACACCTGAGGAGTCGAATCGCTACTCCAATTAAGGAAAACTCTACATATAACCAGAGTCAAAATCTTATAAATTCAATCTCCTCTGTGTAGGTAGGAATAAAAAAATGGTCGTTGGGTTATATAATGCGTGTCTAGAATAAAGTGGGATGTGATTGTTTCTACAACCGATACTTGCCTCTAAGTCTCCTGTAGTGCAATTTGATTTTTTCCCCTCAATAACTTAAAGGGAACTTTTAAAAAGGTTGCGGAGATGCAGTTAATTATGCTTTTACGCCTCCATCAATGCCAAAAGTGCAGAGAGGGGGAAAAATTTCATTCCAACCTTCTTGTGACATATGGGCAGGTGGACCCTCGTGCCAGACTATGGCATTTCATTGTCAATCACTTCATAAGAGCTTTGAGTTTGAATAAATATTAAATATGGTAAAATATGAATTTAAGTCCTAAAGTTAAGCATAGTATTGGGTTGGCAACTAATTCATTGCCGTTTTTGTTGACAGATTCACTCTATACTTTCTTTTGTTTTGTTAACGTGGCCAGAGCATCTAACCTATATTTTTTTCTTACTGTATGGGCTTCTAGGTTAATTAGTAAAAAATTTTTTTGTTTAGTTCTTTAGTTTTGTTTTTATCCCAATTTAAAAATGAAAGAACAGGACGTGCACTTCCGACACATTTTATTGTATTACTTCCGAAAAGGCAAGAACGCATCGCAAGCACAAAAGAAGTTATGTGCCGTATATGGAGATGAAGCCTTAAAAGAAAGGCAGTGTCGAAAATGGTTTGAAAGATTTCATTCCGGTGATTTTTCACTGAAAAATTCACAACGATCTGGCCGCCCAGTCGAAGTGGATGAAACCCATATCAAGGCCATTATCGATTCAAATCGTCACAGCACAACACGAGATATTGGAGAGAAGCTCAATGTGTCGTATACATGCATTGAAAAAAATTAAAAACCCTTGGTTATTTCAAGAAACTTGATTTATGGATCCCTCACCAGTCTCCAACATTTCCACCCGATCAATGGCAAGGAGAGAACAGTAGTGGTTTATGCATCCAAAATAACCAAGACAAAATTAGGCTTGTTTTTTTTGTCACAAGCGGCATCGCATGGACACGTAGGCAAAAGTAGGAGTAAAATTGAAGCAGAGTAACACAACTCTTAGAAGAGGGCTTTCCAGACCCCTAAAACTAAGTGCATTTAAAAAAATTCTGCCAATAGAAAAAAGAAAGCACTGTGGATGAGAACGCGAGCGGCGTGGAGGTGTGATTAGAGAGAACCGTTCCTCAAAGGACAGGCCATTTTGATAGCCATGGAAAGGATTTCATAAGTTTTGCATTAGGCAAAATAGGTAGTCATGGAGATGAGGTAGATTCATCTCAAAGGATAAGGATGATTTTGCCCAAGACTAACCCCAACTAGGATATTATCCTCAATCTTGACCCATTGATTTTCTTTATATACAACCTCATTTTGCTTTTGTGAAGAATTTCATTGCCCTACAGAGGAAGCGAAGATCAGATATATTCCCTGAGTTTTAACATCCTAAGGTTATGCCAACCAATGCAGGAAACTGCGTAAGGATATAAGGAATTGACACCTTGCTAAAGCGAAACAGGTAGAGGCAAATAAATCTAATAATCCTGATCTCAGAGCCCTAATGACTTTGATCTGCGGAAAAAAAGTTGTGATATAAAAGCTTGTATGACGACACAATGTAGAAGACCGATAGCAATAGAATGCTTAGACATTTCCTTCACGCGATAGCTAATGTGGCATGTTTAAGAACGGCTTTCCGAGCAAGCAATGATTGGAAGTTTCTTAGATTCAAGAAAAAGACGAAATTGCCCATTGTTCAAACATTTCATTCGACGCTGAATTTTAATTCTGTGTACCACACAACTCGGTTAAATGTGAATGACTTAATAAAAATGAAGCCAGTTGAGAGATAGTCAAGTAATTACAAAATGAAAATAACAAAAATAAATCATCAGAAAAGTGAAACAATTCATTTTAACCAAATTTAAATTTTCCATTTAATCATAGTCTTAACCACTCCACTACAAATATAATTTGATTGCGAAGAGTGCGCTTATCAGACGAAAAAGCAAAATAAATGGGAAAATTAGATCAGCAGGAAAAGAGGAGACCACGTCTCCTATATTTTCTTTCACTTCCTTTCAATCCCAACGGCTGTGTAACACCGTATGAAAGGAGAGAGAGAGTGCGTGCGCACGGTGGCAATGGGGTGAGCGAACACGCAATAAGACTGCAATCAGATAAATCCTCCTCTCCCAGCGAGAGAGCCAATTCTGAATGTGAGCAAGCGCGCGCGTTAGTTTGCTGTTGCACGAGCGAGAAAATCACGACAGCAAAAAGGGCAATATGAGAGTTGAGAGAAAATGATTGTAAAAATATTTCATGGCATACTCAACCAACTATCGCAATATTCGTCAGTGAAGCGAGAAAAGTGATCTAGCGGGAAGAACTGGCTAATAGGCATTATATAAATAAATAAATATATATATATATATATATATATATATATATATATAAATTCTGACAAATGCTCAGAAAATAGGACTTCATTATTAGAAATTAAGCCCATTTCCCAAACTAAATATCATTTCGAAAGGGTCTATAGTGGGCTAGTAGGATGCCTGGGCTGCCAGAATTGGACCATATGATAAACACCTCTTAGCCAACGGCAACTTAAGTGGAATCAGCTTCAATAATCAAAGTGATCTCGTCAGTTTACCTAAACTGACGCAATTGATAGGCTGTCATAGATTAAAGGCGTTTTCTCTCTGGGCTTTACTGGTTTTCAAAAAAAAATTGCAACTACCACTTTTAGGAACTGAGCAAGAAGTCGGCGATGCATTAATCAGAGAACGGACGGGTGAGACCGAAAATAACAAGAATATGAAAGACTATTTCAAGGTGAGAGTCGAAGGCATAAAAGACTTCAAAAAATTACTAAGAGATCAAAATTTTAGAGAATAACAGCAAAGGGCATTATGAGTGACTTTAAGTGAGAGAATGAAAACCGCTGAAGTGTAAAGTACATCAAAGCAAAACACCGAAAATATAACAGAATTATATTACCAAATCTCCTCTCCATTTAATTCTCTGAGTTAAATTTAATAACGCTTGCAACGCAATAAAAACTATATAAGCCCCCTCCCCAACCCACTCCACCGATGAACCATTCTTGCGTGAGAAAGCACATTAGTTCACCGTTGAGCGCGATTAGTGGGCAAGAAATAAAAAAGGCACTTCACTTCATAATAACTGACCATGGAGATGGAAAAGTGATATTTCGATTACGTGGTACGCATGTCGGCGGAGGCTTGCTCCGACATGCCGTTTGTCTAAATATCACCACCGGCATCGAATCGCTAAACTGTGAATGTACTACAAAGAAATACACACACCGAGCGATTATTCTAGTGGGCTGCAACAACTCCACAACGTTCTTAAACCCTCATATCTCTTTTGACACAAATTACCTACTCATCGCGATAATGAATTTATATTTCTTAAAGTCCAAAGTATTTTCTTTTCGTGCCAATATGCTAGAATTAAAATGTCGTTTACTTTGATACTTCTGGAGCTTTCAGCGCTACTGTATTTACACTGATGACTCAGGAAGGAAAGGTAATATGGTAGTTGCGGCATTTCCCACCTCCTGTGTGTGTAACCACGAGATAAAGATCGCATTCTGGGTCTCTGCCTTTTCTTCGCGCCAGTTGGCCTAAATGCTGGTGTACACATACGCACTGAGCAATTAGGCGGAAATATTGTTACTAGGGTAATTGACGAAACAATTCAAACAAGCAGCCTCCGCCGTCACCAAGTGAAACGGCCCAGGGAAAGCGAATCTATTGTGCCAGTTGTAGGATGAAAGTTTGCGATTAAATACGCCATTATGCAAATTAAGGAAGTCCTTGAGCCAATGAACGGAAAAAGGTGCGCACACAGAGGGAATTGATACCGATGACTAACAAACTCCGAACGGACTGATTAAATAGACCCGATTAGCACATTCTGCAGATTAAGTCACCCAGCACTGACCAGTGATTTGAATATGTAATACTTAGTACATTTAATGATAGATATAATCATGGGTGCCCAATATTCGCAAATCAATAAGATTTATAATTCTAACTAAAAGGTGGATAGACATATTTACACTGATGGAAGAAAATAAAAACACGCGCTAAATTCGTTTCTCAGTTTGCGACGGACTTCATCCTGGATAGTGTCCAAACGACACATATTTTTCCCACCATTGGTGAAAGCCGGACCACAGGTCAGACCACATAGAGGGATAACTGATTTATGAGGCCGGGTGCCTTTTGATCTCCAAGAGAAAGGTCGACCGACTTTTCCTACCACATCGTCGCGTCTTGAAGCAGTAGCACACATGTCGAACAGGTGGGTCAAAAGGAAGACAATTTAAGTCTGTATTTTTGAATAAAGCTTCAGGATTGAGTTATAGGGCCTCTTCTTGTGAAGGAGCACATATAAATTAGGTAAAATTATGGAAAATTTTTTTGTCCATGACAACATTACTGTTTATCCCCCTGAATTGTCTATGTGAAGTAATAGAAATTACGCTATAACGCAGCTAGTTCGAGTTAAACTGTAACAAGTGTTTTCTTTCTTCAATGGACGTAATTTCGACTTGTAGAAGGGGAATTTCATACTAGATCTAAGAGGTAAGGCGGAGGTATTAACTCAGCGAAAACCGGAAAGTATATTTTGATGAACTATCTTAGCGTCCCACTTCAAATGAGAACGCAAGTTATGCCAAAGGAAACAGACTTGCTTTGAGATTAGTGAAGACAATTCTTTGCATAACCTATGGCAAATAAACAAGACTGTTGAAATATCTGCTGGGCTATAAAATCAAACTCTGGAATCCTCTTGCCAAAAGTAGATTATTAAGTGAACCGGGGGTGGGGGGGGGGGGAAGGGGAGGTGTTTGCTAGGGGAGATGAAGAAATAATAACTGCATCACGGCGTCACTTAATCGAATTCACGTCGAAATGTCAGAATAATGAGTATGAGTGGAAATATTGATTGGAGCAGAGGAAGCAGACAAAAGCTTTCCGAATAGTGCAAAAAAAACACAAAGATGATCAATTTAATAGGTTTAATACGTGGTACCCTAACATGGTACTGTTGGTAAGTTACCCACTGAGATACGATAATTAAAAAGCCAGGGAAAACCCAGAAACCACAACAACAAGGTTGTCAATTTTCGCGTTATAAGTGGTGATAGGACATACGATCTATTACTTTTTTGACTGGCAAGGAGTGCTACATGACGGATGAAGCGAGTCTACTTTATTTATTCACTTACTTTGGGAGACATCCAAGATGGATATACACCATCACGAGGCAGTACAGGACGCATTCAAGTGGTGTAGTTCTAGAGAAGATATAAGCAAAGCATTCACCAATACCACGTCAAAATGAGAAGTGAAACAATAGGACTGGGGAAAAGAGCAATACTCCTCTCTCCCCATAACGTGTACTTTCATGCATTACCAAATCAACCGGGTTCCTTAATGCACCTCCTTTTTAAATAAAGGCAGGAGAAATACTATGCCCCTGTTCACTTCTCTTTCCACACCTATAAGCGTACTTTACTATTTTACCTAAGTGATTAATACACCTTGAAGTGTCCTTAATTCTCTACTGTATTGATTTCATTGATCTGATCGCGATCCACTGGAGTGGTGGTCCAGTGAATTAGAAATAAAAACTTCCAACTCATCATATGAACCTACTTAATTTATTCTTTAGAAAAAAAATAAAATGGACATTTCATCAAAAAAGTTATCCCAATCATATACTTGTAATGATTATTACTTACATTAATACAATTCTTGCGTTAAATATGTAGACCACACCGTCTTACATTTACATATAAAAATAATTTAATAAACTAAATTCCATCTCCCAATCTCTCAATAGGCTAGTATGTACACTAATGACGAGAATAATCAGCTATTCTTGTGACAGTGGCCTATCTGAAGGTAGTCACTCGAATTTGTTCGCAAATTAACTGAAAAGGTTACTTCTTGCTTCAGTTTCTGACTCCTCTCAAGTTCCAAAATTAAATTATCGTTTATTTCCATTTAACCACCCCCCCTCCCCCACCCTCCAATTCTCTGCTTACAGGAAAGTCAACTTGGAAGTAGGTTAGATGGTCAGAGAGTGAGGACATGTGATATTCACAAAACAAGATGCTCTCAGAGTCTGAACGCCCCCCCCCTCCCTCTACCCTCCTGAGTGCGTCCTTTATCTAAGCCGCTCTTTCACGAGAGTACCCCCACTTGCCTCGCCGTATTTCTTCCACCTTGTCAAAAAGGTCTATTATCGGGTCCTCCTTTCTTTTTAGGTCTAAGTCGGAAATATATCACTCTTTGAGCACATTTAGACGCCCTAATGACTTAAATTACCTTATGTGTTCATAAAATGGCACGATTTATATGAGTGGGTGCTTTCGTCTCAAAATTTGCGTTCATTGGCCCTTAGTAAAGAGAGTGGGGTCTTCATAATGGTTGCTCCCTCCCTCTCACCACCTCCTAAATATTATTTATTTAGCAGCCATAAAGAGTGCTAACATTCCTATGTCCATTCATCGGGCACTTGACCATTCTTTTTTATTTATTGCATTATCCACTACGTCTCTTGTCCTTGCTTTTTTCGTCTAATTGCTACTTTAATGAGCGTGAATGGTTCTTCCACATTCTATAAAATTCTGAGCCTCTGCGAGGCTAATGATTGTATGAAACCTGTTTACCTATATCCAATCTGGAGCCTGTTAAGAATCGATTTTCATTTCTTCTACATTCCAGACTGAATAAAGTTCAAGAAACCCACAACTATGGGGCAGAAAGTGCTTTTTAAACCCACACTTGCAACATCCTAACTTCTTCCTTTGATACAGCCACTTTATCAAACAGGAATCCTATTAGCCTAGAGTTGATCTTGTTGAAGAAGGTAAGCCAGAGCAATTGGCCATCTGTACTTTTAACTCCGGTAGCTAGACATACTAAATGTACTATTTCTATTCTCAATGGCAACGATTGTCACGTTTTTTGAAATGGAACGTTTCTTATAAGTGCGGGTGTTTATCACTGTGAATTAAGCCAATAGATAATGAATAGATATATAGATTCTCCTCTTCCCTCCCATTCACCATAAAGAATAATTTGTTGGGAAACGTGAGTGGAGACAAGTGAGCACTAACATTTCCGTATCCGTTTACCGAATTAAATGCATATCTCGCCCTTTTTCCTCCCTCCTATTTATTCCAGCAATTAGTACTACCCTTGCCAGAAAAAATCCTTCCCAACCTCCTTTTGTGCCAATCTGGACAGCAACACTTGCTGTAATGCCCACTAGTTCTTCCTTCTTTGCTCTCATTGACTTGTTTCAATATGGAAGGAGTATTTAAATGGAGATTTTGGAGCTGTTTCCCCATTCAGATAATTGACAATGGTATAAGCAGATTTACCATTCGATTTTCATTATATGGGTAAGTAAATATACCTCCTCCCCCCCCCCCCCCCCCCCCTACCAATGGCATAAAAAAGTAAAGTGGAACATTATAAAGGATTGACAACGATGCTAAAGGCGTTAAAACCATGGTTGTTTTTCCTAGAACACTGAATTTTAGATGAGTCAGACAATTCAACATGGGATAGCGACTCTGGTCTGAAATACAGACTCACAAAATCGCTATAGAAAAATTCATAGGTAAGTGTGTCATCGACATTTTGACGATGAAGTTATTAATGGGAGACTCATTCACGCGAAATAGCAAATCCATGGTCAGCTGACAGGCACAGACATTGGACTTAGAAAGTAAACAGATACTCACAGTTGCAGAAAATAAACCAAAACAGGTAATTTGGAAGGTAGAAATTTTACAGCAGGCGTGAAGGCAAAACAAATTACTTCCCAAAGTTTAAGTTCAAAGCGATTTTGGAGAAAATCATGAATATAAATAGGAAATAAATTACAAGGACGAAAGGAAGAACGTATAGGGATTGATAGAATAAATTAGTCCCCCCCCTCCACACTTTCAGAAAAAAAACGAGAGTCAAAGATATATGTGTTGCAAATAACAGTTGGTTAGCCACTAGAGATCAGACAAAAGCAACATCGAAGAGGATGAGGAAATGCTCGCGATAACCATTCACAACGAAACGGAGTTACTCAGAATGAGAAACATTCGGATTAAATTTATGGGGATAGAGGGGAGCAAGCTGAATAAACATAAGACCAGTTGGATCAAATGTGAATTTCTGATTATTTTGACACCTTAAAGCAAACATGTCATTCTGTTGAATACACTACCGTGACAGCAGGCGAGTTTAGAGGACAAAAAAATTTTTTGGCAAAGAAATGATAATGCTATGCAGTGAAGATAAATACACCTAATCATTAGATGAAGAGATCCTTATATTAAAATAATGATCCATCATGAGATACTGCTGAATGGGAGGCATTCCCTAATCGGTGGTTGTCTGATGAAAAGCCTCCCATATTGTTACCCCGAAACGAGTACGAGAACGGTTATAAAGATCATTCTCAGCCACAATAGGGCCGAGCATGTTAAAGGCATTAACAGAATTAAAATTTCCTGTCTGATGCATATTCATTTTGGAATGACGTAAGCACAAATAGTCATGGCAAAGCGCACTGACGTCAGTTCCCTAAAGGAAGGTTAACAAGCTGATTTGATTAAGACAGCCAACGTTGAGAAAAGCGGAGGAGGAGGAGGGAGGGGGGGGGGGGGGGGGGGGGGGGGGGGGGGAAGATCCGACGTAGGACAAATTTTTTGTGCAACCGTCAACATAGTGAAAGCATAAATTAAATTGAAATAATTTGCACCACGACAACAACGTCCAAAAGGTACATGTTTCTTGGGAGGAAAAACGATATCCACCAATATCGCCACATAATCGAAACAGGTAACTTTATTTTAAATAAGGGGGTGTGCGATAGACTTACCTCCAAGTGGTGCACCCTGGGCAATGTATACTCACACGGCAAAAAAAGTCTATTAACCGGCAGTTGACTTCTCACTTCAAACTACCATCACCCCACTGTATGTCATATTCGACTACTTACACAGTACTCACCTCACCTTTTTTCTACCTTTGTGTCTGTCTCCTTTACATCGTTAAAACACTCTTCTGTTTCCCCCCCCCCCTTCTCGACTTTTTTTTTCAATTTGATCTTCCTTCCCCTCTGTGAAGCCTGAAGTCAACTAAAGGGCTAATAACAACCATCAAGATGCCTGCCATTTGATATAAATAACTTTTAAATAATAGTGGATTAGACCAAGACGAGAGCTCTACATCTGCAGCATCTGATGACCTTTAAGGTTAGTAGTATGAATA